TTGTAATGGCTCACCGTGCACTTAATAATAGTGTTAGGATGCTGATTTTATGTACAGAGGTTGATCTAGTATTAATGTTGTTTAGTTAAAGTGGATTTTTTTTTTTTTTTTTTTTAATTTTGACATGTTTTGGACTTCACTATCTTGGCCAAAATCTGAAGGTTAAAGTTTGGGGGGAGGGGGGGGGCTGGTAGGGGACATGTATTGATTCATCAATACCAACAGAATGCTTGTTAAAATTTGACATGCTTATAAAATGTGATCTGTAGATGTGCCAAGGGGTTTGAATAGTTTGTAAGGTCAAGGTTACTAAAAATAAACCAAATAGGAATACTGTAGGCACATGGTGGGGTCCTTTCTGACCTGTCAATGTCTTATGATATCATAATTCAATAATTATTGCTTCACCACTTTGATACCAACAAAATGTTAGAAGTCAAGGTCCAGTGTCCAGTATCTAGTGATCTCAGGTACAGAGCAGGAGTAAAGGTCATAGTACTAGAAGTTATTGATGTCCTTCATAGCTGTGATGGCTAGGGAAGGTCAGGAGACAAGGTCATACAACACTGGCATTATGTAGTATTGTCTGTCTGAAATAGGAAGGCTGCTGGCCAAGGCATCATAACAAGTCAGTATCTGGTACTAGTAATATTGCTCACTTCTTTTCTAACAAGTTAAGGTCAGGAGTACTGCATGAGTTGAGATGTGTGACTGACATCTTTACATTGAAAGGTGACACATACAACTTCCGGTCCTGTCTATAGCCTATTTAGATATATAGTACGTCTCATCAATCACAAAATGATTTGTTGAGTTCCCGTTGTCCAGAGTAGGTTTGCAATATTCATTTCTTGTATTTGTGGTAAATGAATAACAGTGGTTAATGTTAAGCACTATTCATGTAGAGGAACTGTGTATAAAGTAAGATAAAATTAGCTATTCTTTAAACTGTTTTAGCATTGAAATATTTACTGACTTAGTGACATGTTCCATTGAGATAAAATGTGGGTGACATGTCTGTGTTTGGTAAGACATCTCGGTAGGGAAACTATCAAAGCTGACAGCAGTTTTCTGTGTCGGTTGCTGGTATCATTAGTTTGTGATTTTACAGTATATTTGTAACGTTACTCTGACATGTATCTCCTTTTCAAAGAGTTCCAAAGTTAGAAATATGTGATATATCTATCTCCCTTTTCAAAGAGTTCCAAAGTTAGCAATATGTGATACAATGTATACGTATATCTATCTGCCTTTTAAAAGAGTTCCAGCCTTAAAATATTAGTGTGGATAAGCTGCCCATATCTATGATACCATTTCTCTCAACTAGGCTTCGTTCTTTAATACTAAGACTGGTCAGAGCTACCATGTTGGTCAGGATCTTGACTACACCAGCACTGATCGGTTTATTCAATCAATCAATCATTGGTTTAATTGGTTGGAACTCTGGGATTCCTTTCTGTTTACAATTGAAACATGTTTGAGATGAAGCATCGATGTTAATTGAGAAGCTTTAGCATGGTAAACGCATCGGAATAAGTTTGAAAACGTTTTGTTCAAAGTTGATAGGTTCTTGCATTACCATGGTAACTAATGGGTTCTTGTTCTTACAGTTGATGCAATGTTAAAAATAATGGACAAGTTACGCATTCTTCATAATGAGAAGATAAATATCTAACTAACAGTATTTATAACTGTCTGCCATGATCACAGACACAATCTCGGAAAGGAAAACCCCCATTGGAGATATAATGCCAGCCAAACAAAACTGCAGGATTAATAGACCGGACCTGTTGTATTTTTAAAGCGAAACCTGGCAGAGAATAGAAAAATTTATGGCAGGCAATCCAGATTAGAAAAATGTGAAATATCTAATTCACTTTTAAAAAGAGTTCCACGCTAAAGAATATGTAAAATATCTATCTCCCTTTGTAAAAAGTTCTATATTTAGAAATATATAGAATATCATTTATGATGTTAAAAATTTGTATTTGGTGTTAAATGATGAACCATGAGCCAGTAAGCAGGAAAATCTTATCAGCTCACATGGCATTTTATGTCAGCTGATGTAATTTTGAAGCATCTCTCCATCAACAGTTTTCTTAAAACAACTCTGTCTCAAGAACCATAAGGCCTAGGGTCATGATATTTATGTGTATAGCTTACGGGGGTATAGGTCTGTCAAATTCCTTTGTATAAATTTCCTTTAACAATATTCAAAATTACAGGAATCAAATGTTCTTAAATCTTCAAACAACCTCTTCTAAAGAACCATGAATTCTAGGTACTGCATGTAGTTAGCTGGGATGAAGTGATATCAAAGTTCACCTTGACCCAAACTTGAGCCCAACATGTTTATTGTGTCATAATCTTCATATTTTCACCTGTAAGGAACCATGATCTTTAGAGCCAGGATATTTGGTTTTTAGCTTTCTTTGATGTAGGACAACCAATTACGTTCAATTTTTGTCCAAAAGTTACCTTGACCTTTAAAGTCAAGGTCATGTGTCAAATATGTTGAAATCTTGAAAAAACATCTACTAAATAACCGTAATGCCTAGGGTATTGATATTTGTTCTGTAGCTTGCTAGGATGATTTTTTTTATCAAATTAACCGGTAGTTCAAATAAATGACATTAAACTGCATTAAAATTCATCAGTTTGTTTTTCTGATTAACTGTTGGTCCTAGAATAATGCTATGTGGCCTTTATATTTCTGTATTGACAATGTTTGGATGTTAGATGTGTCGAAAATGTCTTTGTTTTTTACTTAGGACTACAAGTATGATATGATATTTTGCCCTGTTAACTTGATTAGATAAAAGCTTTCATATAGTTTTTAACATGAATTCCCTTTACTCACCTTTTCCTGATATTTAAATGTGTCAAAACTTCAGCGATATTCTAGGAAACCATAAGACCTGGAGTTATATTTTGGTTTATTTATTGCTCACTGGGAATTGAAGAGCAATACATGTTGTTCAAATACCTCGACCCAATAATATTTCTCAGGTTCACAGAAACTGTATGCAAGTTAAAAATACGTTTTCTGTTTGGAAAAAACCCTATTGCATTGAAAATCACCAGTGTTTTCATTTCCAAGTTAAAATAAGATTTTAGTACAATGTAACTTGAATAATCCTTAATGACTACAGTATCAGGTGTTTTTCATTTAATGTGTTCATGATTTAATTGCCAGTATAATTTTTCATATGCAGTTAATTAATGTTCATGTTATTTTTAGATGGCGCCTTACTGGTTGAACATTTTTGTTGTGTTTAGTATTAATTACCGATGTTATAATTGACACCAAGAAACAGCTCTTGTAAATAAACATATGTTCACTCCTGATACCTATCTCTTAAATCAATGTCCAGTCACTCCGTGCTACATGAGTGGTAAATTTTCCTTATTGCAAGCTATTATGATATGTTCTGACTTTAAATGCTGTTTAATACTGGTTTTTACTGCATTCATCAAAGGCTTGCATGTAACATGTCAACATGATCCATTGATCTGTAACGTCATTTTATTTCATATTATATTTAGACATCAATACTGTACTTACAAACTTGATAAATTACCTTTTTGGCATGTCACTATGTTAGACGTGCCTAGAATTGGGGAGTCCCGGGTTTATACTGCATACCTGTAAATTTTCCCCTGTAAAAATATTCACTGGTAAAATCCCTATAAGCTGTGTTAATTTTCCCTGTTAATCACTATGCATAGTAAATCTTTGTACTAAAATATTCTGTCTTGATGACTTCATTTTAACCAGAAGAGCAAATTAAAGTGAGTTTGTATGCTGCGGTATGGCAATGTGATGACTTCTCTCATTTTCCAAATATTGGTAAATTTCAGACCAATTAACAAAAATGGCCACTTCCAATTCCATAAGGCCAACAATAGCCGAACTTGATATTAATGTTGTTGGCATGGCCCTGAATAGGATGTGCTGTTCACTTTATTGGTTGACTTTTAATGCAATACCTCCCTTGTCCTCTGTTTGGCTAAGACATTTCGACCAATTCTTTATTCTGTCTGACCAATTTGACCAAAGTTTGTACAATTTGTTTTCATTGCCCTTACCTGGTATTATTGTTTTTATTGTTTTGGTCAATAAGACATCTGAGTTGGTCACCATTTTCTGAAGCTAGCAGATGCATATTCACTCCTTGGCTAGTTTAAATAACAAATGAAACAGGTAATCCATACAGGACCAATATTCCTCTTGTCTTTTAAGGCTACAATGTAAACATTAATCTTAATATCATTGCAGTATTGTATTATATATGGAAGACAGGTACTTAGTTTAGCTGATGATCATCAGATGCGTAAACAATGAGATGTTAGCCCGTTAACATTGAGTGGATAAAACCTGAGAATGGACGGGAGGTATGTGGGGAGGTATGTCGTGGGTAGGGATAGGAGATTACAGGGAAGGTCATGTAAGGTCGTACTACATTTCTGACGTGGCTGACAGTGGCACTATTGTGTAAGTGTAGGTGACTGTATAATCCTGCTGTTATTGAGGTAAATCACTCAGGCATTGTTGTAATACCTGACTTAGACAGAAGATCATTCAAGCTTTCCTGCTAGCGACACGCCCCCATACAAATCCCTTTCTACTTCCCCATCTCCTGTACCATCTTACCTATCAGTGAGGCTATCCAAGCTCTCCCCCCTTAAAACGTTTCTTCTCCCAGGTAGCCCCCCTCCCCTCACACCACCTCCCTTTAGGTGATAATCTCCTCCCCCTCCTCCCGTTCCAGCTTCAATGATAGCTTACATACAAGGGGAGGCGTACCAACGTGTGATCCCCATTTGCCTGAGTTTATACATGTAATCGGGGCGCCGGCGTAGTCACCATCACATCACTGGGTTATTGACTGGCATGTGTTTTGTGAGCAGTCAGGCGTAACTAGTGCCCATGTACCGTAAATAGTTGGTATTGTTGTTAGGTCATGCATAGTAATTGGTGTGTTTTTGTTTCTGACCAGGCTGTGTTGAGGACAAAGTGAGGCCAGGGTCGAGTGACTGTGACATTTCTGCTTCGGACACCGATGACCAACAGGACTATGTCCATCTCGGCTTCTTTCTGGACCGAAGAGGGATGTACAAGTGCTTAAAACAGGAAGGTATGTCCCTTTACATGTTAATGGTGCTGAAGATCATCAACTTTGCACCGCCAAAGAATTAACCCAGAACATGTTTTTAGTGGTTGTGTTTCTTAGGTAAGTTTTCAGCACAGGAGTGGAGCTGTTACCTGCTGTCTTCTATCCTGATTGCTAATGGAATGAAGCAGGTTGCTAGATGTCATGCATGAGGTTAAAAGTTCTCTGTCTGGATCAAAGATTTGATTAAATTCGACTTGATAATGATGGCATTTGGTAAATTCTGTCTAGATAATGCCACCAGTGGTTGGGGATTAGATGGGGGATGTTTGTGATGACCTGGACCAAGTAATGATCAATGGTAGATAAGGGATATGGCATTATATCTTTGAGGTGATCAAAGAAGCTATAACTGGTCACTTCAATGTTTACCTCTGACCAACAGATGACCTTACCTAACCAATACCTATTAGCCCTGTGACTGAACTTAATCATTTCATAAGTTACCTCTCACAATTTTCTTTTGCCCTTTACCTGGCCTAATTTTGAGCTATGAATGACCCATAAAATTTATTAGTAATATGTTTTGGTCACATTTCATGTTTATTAATCTTCAGAAACTTTATTTGAATAATTGAGGGATTTAGCATAAGGCCAGACGATAAACTATCTCAACCAAACAATACAAGGCAAATATACCTCAACAAAACTAGGTTAAGATACTTAACAAAACCTGATTAATATACCTAACTGATATCAGGTAAAGACACTTAGTAAATCTGGGTAAAGACATTTAACAAACCCATGTTAAGACACTTAATAAATCCATGTAAAGACCCTTAACAAATCCACGTTAAGACATGTAACAAACCCAAGTATAGACACTTAACAAATCCAGGTAAAGACATTTAACAAACCAGGTAAAGACTCTTTACAAATCCAAGTTAAGGTACTTAACAAATCCAGGTAAAGACTCTTTACAAATCCAAGTTCAGATACTTAACAAAACCAGGTAAAGACTCTTTACAAATCCAAGTTAAGTTACTTAACAAATCCAGGTTCAAATACTTAACAAAACCAAATAAAGACATTTAACAAACCCAGGTAAAGACACTTTACAAATCCAAGTTAAGATACATAACAAAACCAGGTAATGACATTTAACAAACCCAGGTAAAGACTCCTTACAAATCCAAGTTAGGATACTTAACAAAAAACCAGGTAAAGACATTTAACAAACCCAGGTAAAGACTCTTTACAAATCCAAGTTAAGATACTTAACAAAACCAGGTAAAGACACTTAATAAATCCATGTAAAGACACTTAACAAATCCACGGTAAGACATGTAACAAACCCAAGTATAGACACTTAACAAATCCAGGTAAAGACATTTAACAAACCCAGGTAGAGATGCTTTACAAATCCAAGTTAAGATACTTAACAAAACCAAACCAGGTAAAGACTCTTTACAAATCCAAGTTAAGGTACTTAACAAATCCAGGTTCAAATACTTAACAAAACCAAGTACAGATACTAAACAAATCCAGGTAAAGACACTTAACAAATCCAAGTTAATATACTTAACAAAACCAAATAAAGACATTTAACAAACCCAGATAAAGACTCTTTACAAATCCAAGTTAATATACTTAACAAAACCAGGTAAAGACACTTAACAAATCCAAGTATTTTTTTTTAACAAATCCAGGTAAAGACACTTAACAAATCCAGGTGAAGACACCTAAACAATACCAGGTAAACAAACTTAAGGGGTTCAAATGTGCTCAAATTTTGTTTACACATTTCTTTGAAATTAATTGATGAACTATAGTGATTTTTACCCTATTTATTTTCTAAATAGACTTAGTTAATCTAGGAATATGTCACTGACAGATATTGATAGATATGTCATATAATTAAGAGGAAAGTCGGACATGGTTTTCTTTTAGTTAAATTGATTAAAATGATCCCACAGTTAGATCCTATGGTTTTTAGAAAATTTCTTAATGGCTTCTCCGAATACATTTGTTTATGATTGTTGCATTAATGAGAATTCTAACATAATTAAAGGATCTCAAGTGGATTTCGGCCAAATGAAAAAACTATTATGTAGACAAAGTGCAGTTTGTATTTGGTATGCTTCTAAAGCATGCTAGATTAGGCATTCTGAATATATTTGGTCCAGGGTGATGATATTTGGCAAGTAGCATGTGGGGATGAAGGGCTACTAAAATTTGTCCAAATGAATGACCTTCGCCCATATTCAAGGTCACATCTAGTCAATTGTGCATACATCTTTAATAGTCGTCTACTCAATAAACAAAAGGTATAGGGTGGTGATATTTGGCAAAGTTGCATTTTGGGATGAATGGCTATAAAGTTTGTTCAACTTAATGTCCATATTTGATTTTCGAGGTCACAGGGGTCAAATGTGTTTAAAACGTTAACAGGTTCTTTTGAATGACTCTAAGTCAAGATATTGATATTTTGCCTGTAGCTTTACTTTAGTCCACTTCTAAGGTTACAATTGTGAGATTAATACCAGGTGAGCTATGTAGGCTCATTTGGCCTCTTGTTAAACGTTAATCAAGCTCTGATCAGTGAATGTAAATAAGACCCAAGTGGTCATCAATATTAACAAAAAGTTACTTACCAAGAGCTTGTCTCAGCTTACAATCTAGAGGAGATCACTCTCCAGACACAAAGAGTTAACTCTCCAGACACAAAGAGTTGATTGGTGATAATGTATGGCCATTATTAAAACAGAACTAGACCTTATATGTTGTTTAATTGTGTTCGTGTTAGTTCCCTGTTTCGGATATCTGTACAACATGTGTGGGACCATAATTGATGTATGTTGTACATGTTTAAGGTCTTTTTGAGAGAAAAAATATGTACATTGTAATTTCAAACACCTTTGTTTACTTTTAGCACTTGCAATTACTAGGTTTTAAATGTTTTCATACCCCTGCAACAAGGCTGTACTCGACAAATTTGAACCCAAAGCAACAACTCGACCTGTTTCACAGAATCGTGTGCAGTGTACGTCGCACTGTTTGTGTGATAAGTTTTACTCCCAGATGAAGTGGAGCACTGTACTTGCCCACAAAATTTTAAGCAATGGCGGAACATGGTAAATTCTCCATCGTAGCAACCACCACTTTAGAGATTGGCGGAGCTTAAACATCATATTTCTAGGAGTTGAAGACATTTCACTTGTAGTCATTTGCATTGACACTACATTTGATCGATATGGCATGTTTTCGGGGTACATACACCGTCTTGAGTTCTAAAAGCGCCCTGATCAATGACAAGAAAATGTACACAGTTCAAAGGTTAACTGTATGCAAACTGCCTTGTAAACACAGACTGACAGGTAAGCAAATCTGCGCAACTAACACATTCGTAGAGAAATCCAAAGGAAATCGGAGCAAATAAACACATTTAAATGAAATGAAATTAAGGAAATAAAGGACTGAACATGTGATCTCTATGTTATCTTAAAGAATCCAAAAGCAGGTTGATTTTAGAAAATCCTAAAAAAAAGAAAGCCTGTAGCGATCTAGCTAACATGAGGTAACATCACATACTTTGAAATTAAGTATATAGGTTTAAAATCAGAAGTGTTATTACTGGTAAGCTATTCATCAATTTACATCAGCCACGATTGCTGTCACACATTTAGACCATGCTGGGCGCAAATGCAATCTGTTATAATCGCTCAGTTTTGTACTGTGTGCATGATGTGTGCCCCATGTGCAAACAGTAGAAAAACTGAGCGAGCATAGTTTGCACATGCATTCTATGTACACTGCACATCATGTTACTAGTTATGTTATCTATGGTTATGGTAGCAGGATCTGTGGTTAGCCACAAACTGCCTCTCTATTATACACTTTTCATATAATGATATACCGCTTTATCACAAGCTAGTTCGTAGGTCGTCTCAAAGCAGTTCACAAATTATTATCCATGGTTATAGGGCCTTTGCAACCAGCCAACCACAAAGGGCCATGTGAGCTTATGCTGTACTGCGATGTCCGTCGTCCGTCCGTCAGCTTTTTCTTTTGAACAACTTCTTCTGAAGAACTGGATGAACTAGGGTCATGATATTTGGCCAGTATAAGTACCTGGGATGGTGTGCTATACATTTTCCTCATTAAAATGATCTTGACCTAATTTCAAGGTCACAGGGGTCATATATGTTAAAAACTGTAAACAACAATATCTTAAGAACCATTTGGACTAGAGTCATGATACTTGAGATACTTATGAAGACCAGCAGTGCAAATATTTTTCTTCATTACAGTAATGAGGTCAAAGGTCAACTTTAAGTGCTAGTCAGGGGTCAAAGGTCAACATGGGTTAAAAGCTTTAACAATCTTAAGTTCCATAAGGCCCAGGGTCATGATATTTGGACAGTAGGTCCCTTGGACGGAGTAATATAAAGTCTTGTCATTAAAATGACCTTGACCTAGTTTCAAGGTCACAGGGGTCAAATATGTGAAAAACTTCAAACAATGATATCCTAAGAAGCATTTGGTCTAGAGTCATGATACTTGGGTATGTTATGTAGACCAGCTGTGAATCGTTTTCTTTATTACAGTAATGAGGTCAAATGTCAACTTTAAGTGCTGGCCAGAGTCAAAGGTCAATGCAGGTTAAAAGCTTTAAAATTAAAACTTGTGCTCAACTCCCTGGGGAGCATACAGCCAGTGCTGCCCTCTGGCGCTCACAGCTAGCATTCTACAATTCTAGCACTGCCCAACCACCTATCGGAGTTGCTCTGGTCCTCCATAGAAACACATGGTAGTATGTTATTGATAGCAGGTGGGGATGTAATTTAAACCAGATCCAGCCAATCTATATGGATATCACTAGTATTATGTAAGGTCTGGTTAATTATCTCATCAGTTCATCATGAAGAATTACAGTTTGAAGGGGAATAATGACACTTCACACCCACAAAGCTGTTTGTGGCATGGCCATGTCATAATTATATTATTCTAACATAAGCATTAAC